CCCGTGTTGAATACAAGCTTCTTTCGTCTTCCGATGCGATAGAAGGCAACGTGGATGCAGCTTCGCTCGCGTCACTGGCTGGAGCGAATCCTAGTTCGGAGGCGTGGTCTGTATGAGGTGGTTGTGACGAAGATGTGTAGAGTTGCAAAAATTTCTACTTTGTTATCTCAGCAATAAGGCCCCAGTTGCAACCGTCCAAGCGACCACAAAAAGGGTCAATATCAAATAAGGTAAACACTGTATTACTTGATACGGCTGAAGGCCGATTAAATTTTAACAGCAGTATAAACACCGAACTGGAGTAAATACACATCTTGGAGATGCATCTCAATGTGGAAATCTGGTGGAGGGAGCTGCGGGATACCATTCAGGTCGCTGCGATGTAATCATTCGGTCACATATACTTTCAGCACTAAGATAGGTTTCATGACAATGACAAAGCAATCCGCACGTTCACCTCCGATTAATAGCAACACAGCCTACATCCTCAACAGCAGCCACGTTAGCAAATACGCAGAACCGCTGGTTGACCAAAAAAATGAGGAGATCCGAGGATATGCCGACCGTGGTGAGATTGAGAATTTATTATTTGCTATCAGAACCGTCTATGGTCTACAAACCAAAACGACTGCGTAACTGCTGATCCAGGTTGTAGCAACTCTCCTAATGCAGAAGTAACAAATCCTGGATTGCTGGACCGTGTATATTCAGAGTGTTCTCAACCACACATCGACAATATACGACGAGGCATAGTGGAGATGGAATGGCAAGAAAGAAGTACGAGGCACTGACATCCTGAAAAGAGTCGGCGCCCTTGGCATCTACGCAATTCTGGAGCAGATACAACTTCAATCACTTCGCGAATATGGACGTCCAAAGAAACTGTTCTACGGCGACATAGCTACGCATGGTCGCAGGGAAGGTGGATCGAAGCGTCGCCCCAGGGACACCTTAAATACGTCACTCGGGCGCCTCCAAATCAACACGGAGTTTCGAATATAACCCTCTGATGAGTGGCAGGTAGGGCTCATTGCCGTAAACACGCAAACGGCCATCCTCGAAGGCAGCCCAATAGCCACAGTCAAAGCAAGGAGACCCGCAAGACTTAAGTGTTACTGACTAATGACGTCAGGCCCCAAACCCTGGCATCCTGCCCATGGACGTTGTGGGCACAGGATCTGCAGACCCAGTACAATGTCAACGCGATCAACCCGACCCTTCATCTCCCAACACCACCGCCACCACTATCTATATAAATGAGATTTCTGCCGACCTATAGAACACTTCAGCCACTACCATCAACAATGTTGACATGTCACCATCCGAACCGCATGCCGGTCGTACAGAGACCGGCGAACAATTACATGTAATCCCGGCATACACACCTTACCTGCTTATAATGCTCTCGGAAATTCAGACCCCGCGTGGGCCTTACTGGTCGTATGCTTTGCATAGCAGCAGAATCCACTGAAAAACCTACCTTTTACTCCTAAAAACTCGACACCGCCAACTCATTAGTCGCAGCTCCAGCCTGTTTTTACGGTTATCACACATTTGCGTCACGCTCCCGCCTCTTCGGGTACTTGGAAATCCACCGCAAGGACACTGACTTACCAATGCGATTAAGCCCAATACATACATGTCGCACTCATTTCACCTGCCCAAAGGCACTCAATCATCAGATGAGCCTATTTGGCTATATGCGTCTTCTTGAAAACCCATAGTAAAATTCCGCAGACTTCGCCCCATCAGCCCATACACCACACACGAACCCGGCTCCACACCGGACGCACGGGCAGAACGTGCATGGTTCACGCTAATGGGAAACGTGTTCTTTAGTGCAAATTGGTGCCCGACCAGGTCGTGTGTGGCACGCGCAGAGGCTTGATGAGTTTGTCAGTCATAACGCCCAACCCCATCACTGGATGACTGACAGGTCCCGAAAGTCGGCTGTTGCATGGGGATAAGGAATAGAGGGATGACATCTCTGGGCAACTCACCCCCACGGCACACTGCTGAGTTCCTCGCTGTAATAAACATGGCGCGCCTCGAAACCGTTACGTCTTGACTTTGAAGGTTGCCAACGGACTGCATAACGCAGTCCTCGTGGTAAGTACTCTGTTCGTATGAGCTAACTGGCCAGAAGAAACGAAATTAGCTTGAATGGCTCTTTCCTCTATGACACTTGTGAACCTACGAGACCCCCTTTCTGTCTCATAAAAATCTAGTTGATATAAGTAGGACGTAATTGTTGCAGATGGAAGCGATACCGCTGCACATTACGCAGCGGATGGGCGGACCCAATAATCCTCCAGGCCAATTTTTGGTCTTAACCAACGACAGAGGGCTCTTTCCGATTTTACGACCAGACTCTTGAAACGCGGCGGCCGCGCGCGAGCCCGACTTCGAAGGTAACTGATGTCGGACAATGGCTAAAATCTTGGTATCAGCTCATGAACTCCCATAGGGCCAGCGCTCTAGACAATAAGAGTCAACGATTCAACCTTGGCAGCTCTGAGGTTAGCAGATTCCATAGAAGACAAGCAAACGCAGTAAGGACCAGAAAATTAGTCAATTGTTACATTAACATCATAGCGAATGTTCATAACACCATAGTGCGCTAAACCCGCTTACTGCGATTTGATCTTTGACAAATAACCATTGCTATTGATAACCCAGATGACGAATGCGGGGGCCTAAAATATTTAGCAACACCGCATGCTCAATCGTGACGACCATAGATGGGACAGCCTACTCTTGAGTATACCAGTATGCCTGCAGGGTAACGAGGTGTTCTTAATGCCTGCACATTGTTGGTGTAAAGTGTGTCAAAAGTGTAAATGGTTAACGCCTAGTGCGACGCTTGAATGGCCAAAGTGCAAAATGGGCGGTAAGGCACATTTGCGATTGTAAAAAAATAAGCACGAACCCAGTTGGCGGAAACACAGACAACCCGTGCTGACTTGGCGTCGCCAAAGTGCCTACTTCAACACGCGAGGTCAAAACCCGGTGGAGTCGGAGACACTAGCCTGGCGTGGAGGTCAGGATTGCCAATTGCGAAAGCACATACGTGCGGATAGCGGGTGCTCCACTTGCTTAAAGTCTGATGGGTCGTAAAATCGGCCTTTCGGTTGTCGGTGGCCAAGAGTATGGTCAGTTATTCAAGAACTACGAGCCCACATCTTTGATAACCACTAAGTACAATCGAAAAGTAAGCGGGTGTCGTGCTCGAAACAATGAAAAAACTTGTTTAAGACATGTGGATTGCTGGGATAATGTAATTGGAAAGTCAGACGTTACATCAAAGCTGATAGGTAGGGAAAGTTTTCTGAAGAAAAAGTATGGAGGCATTTGATAGGACAACCTGGGGCAGAACAAAACTTTAAGACAACACACACTGTCCAGCTTATCTCATGATTCACCGGTGAGCAGTTGTGGGGATATCTGCTCGACTGACAAAATGCGCAGTAGGCAGGAAAATATGGTAAGCGCCCTGCAAATTTGAGGTGCAAGTATAATCGTGTTACCAGCCATGCCAAGAATCCGTAAACTATTCTCGCTTATCACCCTCGGGGGAGTTCCTCTCGGGCTCTAGAATGAAAGCAGTTAGTCACAAAACAGCATACCATCGGTGTCCAGGTCGGACTTCCATAAAGTCAGGTTATCGCGGAGGAGCTGCATAATAAGGGTGGAGTCCTTGTAGCTCTCCTCATTAAGGGTATCAAGTTCTGCAATAGCATCATCAAAAGCCTGTTTGGCAATATCACAGGCCTTTTGTGGACTGTTCATGATCTCATAATGGAAGACAGAGAAATTGAGGGCAAGCCCAAGACGGATAGGGTGAGTCGGCTGAAGTTCAGTAGTGGCCTTCTCCGTGGCTTGGGAATAAGCCTTCAAACTCTGCTTTGCGACAT